AGTACCTATACCAAACGACTTCTATAATAAACTGAATAATATAAAAACATAAATCATTAAATGACAAATAAGTTAATATAAGGACTAAACTAAAACTAATGTTTAGTTTAGTTATAGAAAGAAAAATAGGTGTTGTTTTTTTTTTGTTTTGGTGGGGTGGGGGGGGGGGGGGGGGTAGGTGTACCGGTGTACAGTCAACTATGTCTTAACGGACACCTTTCTAAGACGGACACCTTGTGTTGGTTCCTGTCATTTTCCACTCTTTTCACTAAAACTATACTATCTTTAAGTAGGCCACCTCTCTAACACGGTCAAAGGGCACTTTTGAAACAGTCAAAGTGACGTCCTTTTTGTTTTGCCACCTCAAAACGAAAAATGTCTAGGTGCACGCTCTACATATGACACTAAATTGCAATTAGGGGAAGCAAATTACATAACCAAATGCAGAACGTGTCCTGGGAGAGAACATGGCGAAAGAGAACGAATTACGTAAAGCATTAACGGGTAGCAAGAGGAATAGCAGCATTTTGTCTTTTCTGACATGTAAATAATGCTATGAGAGCTTTTCTGAATTCTGGTATTCTGATTGTGTAAATGATGGGATTGACAAATGAGTTTGTGTAAAATAGAAGCAATAAAGTAAATCGCACACGCATCATTTGCTGGAAAGAAAGGGAGCGCCTACCAGTTAAAATAACAAACGTAAAAATTAGGTACGGTAGCCAAAACAGCAAAGATACAATAGTCATAATGAGTAATGTCACAGTCAGTTTTCTTTGCCTACTGGTTGCACCATGGTGTTGAGGACGCGCTGCACACCAATATCTAACAGCAATGGAGGTGTAAGAAACGCAGATAACAAGTAGGCACAAACAACAGTATGTAAGCCATAAGTACAAGGGAAGTGGCTCTTGTCTTCCAGAGCGCAGAGATACCAACGTCATGGCAGTTGACATAACTGCAGAAAAAACCCAGATGGCTCCAATAGTTACCCAGTAGACCCATTTTTTGATGTTGCGATGCCTGAATGGACGAAACGTGGCATGCATCCGATCTAATGAAATAACTGCAATGCTTGTTAGAGAGGTGAGAGGGAACCACCGGAAGACGAACAACGTGGTGTTTCCTTCCGGAGCAGTATTAGAGCCTACATTTACAATTTGGCAATGGGTGCCCAGTATTTCAAATAGAAAAATACTGGAAATTCCTCCAACAAAGATATCAGCTACGGTCAAGTTAATAACCAAGTACATGGCACGAGTGCGAAGGTTACTGTTCTTTATAAAAATGATGATTGATAGGAGATTCACTGTTACTATGGCAACAGACTCGGTAAGGAATAAAGCAAACCAATTGATGCACTCGGATGAAGAAAACATCGTGGATCGATTTTCCATTTCCTTCCAGCTTCACTTTAACAGAGCTTTCTTGCTATTGCTCGTCTACCTTTAGAAAAAAATCAATTGAATTTATGAGTAAATTGAAGAAGGAAAGTAAAGAGGATTCTTTTTGTAATCGGGAATGAATTTAATGTGATAATGACGTCATAAATCTTTTGGCAATAGCCCACGTTCGTTATATTAAGATTTCAACATGATTCCGAGGCTTTAGGATCAACGATTCCATTGTCTCGCAATTCCCAGAAGAGACTTGAGCAGTGTAAGAAAACCAAACCAAACATAGAAAAATGACCAGAAAGCCTCGGAGTCATGTTAGAATTTCACTTTATCAAAAGTAGGGCTATTATCCGAATTTCAGCCGTTCTTTTGGTATCTTTTTCTGGAGATGCTCTTTGCTACGCATACTTTCGGTTCTGACTCTCTGCTGTGCCATTTTTTGTTGTTGTTGTTTTTTTTTTGCAATTCGTAAGGCTACTTTCACGAAAACAGCGATTAAATGTACTATACAATTTAAATGTCATGCTCAATGAGAACTATATTTATCATCCATAAATTTATTAAACTAAAGCAAAATATAACAAAGGTATACACTATAGTAATATAAGCAAACCATGTAAAAACAAATAAAATAAAATAAATAAATAAACACATTTGAAAATGTCAACCCGAGAAGCCACAACACATATCAGAAATGCTTAGCTGGGAGGTCCACTTATCTCTGTGTTTCGTGTGGTTTCCAATTACGAACACAATTTTTCTTTCATATTGTTTCTAGCAAGGTAGATGTAATAGTATCGTGCAATAAGAAGATAATGATTTGAGGGGGAAAGCATGTTGATTTGGGTTTATAGCCCTAAAGAATTTCTGTAGCACCTTTTGTTATGTTTTCAGAACGTGTGAAGTTCGGCCAATTTAAGACATCATTCAGGGAAAGCTTTTCACGGCAGGACAGTCATGTAAACGATTATTGGTATGTAGTTTCAATAGGAAATTTGCAGTCCTCACATTGAGGCTGGAAAGTCTTTATGTTAATTTTCAAAAGGTCTTATTAGTAGCAATAATATTGTGCATGAGCGTAAACTGGAATTCAACTGAACTTGTCAGCTTGTTCTCAGTGGTAACTATGAACGGAAGTTCATTCATGGCGCTAGGATTCAATTGTTGTTCCTTTTAATAGGCAGAATACAAAGGAACTTTTCGCCGCCAACCCGTCGAAACACGCAAGCGAGCTTGGCGGAGACTTTATCAACGGTTATTCTTTTGTAGCCTTTTGGTTATATCCTAAAATGGCGTTTTGGTAATGTCTCGGAATCGCTGCTAGAAGGCCAGCGAAGTCGAGAAAGGTACAACGAATTTCATCCATGGCTACTTTTGAAGTTTTCGAAGGAGAAAAAGGTCCAGGAGTTTTTTCAATCTTTAAATGCATTTGCTTGCCCATAATAAATAATGTTGACTTTTCACCTGTCTTAATAAAACAGTTGTTCTAAAGTGTCAACCAAGTTTGGTCGACAAAAATGCGATATAGATCGTGAAAAGTTCTATTTTGTTAAAAAGATAAACATGACACTTTTGCAAACTTCAAAAGCATGGTAGCCTCGAAGGTTATCCGGGCTTCTTGCGTGATACAACTTGAAAAGTGAATGACCATAAGAGCGAAAGAAACTTAACGGGGTTTTTGCTAGATTTCTACAGCGATGTCAGTGAACTGGACAAAATCTTTTGCCATTATGCGAACTGATAATCGTCATGATTTCAGTTACATGTAGTGTATCATGCAGGCGTGGATAAAGCATCGCATGTATAATAAACGCTATCACTGATAAGCGCGTAAAATTCCTCAAACGTGCTTTATTCTAGAATGTTTTTCGTGTATGTGAGAGGTATAACTTCAAATATATAAACAGATCCAAACGCACAAATGTTATCTGGTGTTTATTTGTGTCTTTCTAACTTCGAAAAAAGCTCCAAAGTTCATTCATTTGCCGAATTCAAATAACCGTGCTTTTGACACAATCATCTTGTTTGTCTTGTTGGAGCTAAGGTGCTACACGTGATTGCCATTTGCCCATATGACTTTAAAAAAAACGCAGAAATGCAGACCTACGACGGAAAACGCTCAATGAAAAGGTCACCATAGAGTACTACAGGATACCCAAATACCAAACGGATCCCAAGATTATGTGTTGCGTTTTCCTAACGCCGAACACACACACACACACACACACAAAAAAAAAAACAAAGGTTGGACTTTAGCTTAGGATTTCGTCTCGAGCTTGTTTGGTGTCAAGTCCTTAAGGATCGTTTGAATAGAGATTACATTGAGAACAATTCTTCGACCTTTTTCTTGATGCCGTTACAAAAATTGGGACAACACTCTTGCTTTAAAATTACCCTGAAGAGAGGTATTGGCTGACAGGGATCTGAGAAGCAAAAATATTTGAATCTTAGCCATTAACCTCAGCCCTCGTTCACCTGCTGGTAAGCGTAAAAAGCAACTGCACCTTGTAGAAGTTTAGAGCCAATGGTCAATGCTAACAGGCCAGCTGTGGGAGGACGCATGGCGGCAAGAGTGCAGGGGGTTCCGTGCAATGAAACCTACATACATGTATACAAAAATTATCCATCGAGCTTCATAAAAGACATCACGACTAACCTTATTTAATGTAGTGACCGTTTTGAGCCAAAGGCAAGGCTGAACTATTAAGGCTAGGATGAATGCACAAGACGTGTTAGATTTGACAGTTATGTTTGCCAATAAGGAGGCGGCAGCTGACATACATTTGTTTTTTCATCGTTTGTGTCATTCGAGTATTTGTTCAGACGTAAAAAATCCAGCTGTAGAGTAAACAGGGTAAATTCTATTTATTCGAAAAAATAGACCGATTTAGCGCACTTGATTTCGATGATATAGAAAGCACTCAAACCCCTTTTAAAATACCCGTGCGTAAAAAAGTCAATGAAAAGAAAGGAAACAAGCTTATCCTGCTAGAAAATAATGGAAATTTTACGCAGATGACCAGGCCCGGTTCCTCGAAAGATGGTTAAGTTTAATCCAGGATTAAGCCAAATTTTAAACAAGGTTTTCTTGTCTAACAGCATGTAACTCGAGCTGGTGTTTAGATGGCTCCACAATCAAAAATTCGACGTTGTTTATTTACAAGAAACTTACTCTTCCAAAAGTGTCGAAGAAATATGAAATACTGAATGAAATCTTATGGAACAACCGCTTTATTAGGATCAACGATTATTCAGTATACTACAAAGCATGGCATGTAGCGGGTGTTGAAAAAATTGGAGATCTTTTCAACGGCAATACCTTTCTATCTCACCAAGACTTCTGCTCTTATTTTGGTCTTAAAACTAATTTTCTTACCTACTACGGTTTATGCAGAGCAATTCCTCCTGACTGGATTAAAATAATGAAAGGTAAATTACAACCGCCTTCGAATAAATCCATAAGTATGGATAGAATTCCCGTTGAGAAGCTTTCTTCTAAACTTGCTACCAACTTTTTTGTTGAAAGGAAATTTGTTCCTGCCACCGCCAAAAAAAGACTCAGAAAAGCTAGTTTACATGAACAGCAAATTTCTCAAATTTACAAGATGCCTTTCAGTGCTACGAAAGACATACAACTCTCAATGTTTCAGTTCAAGATCTTACACCACATCTTACCCACCAACGCTACATTATATATATTCGGAATTAAAGAACATGACCGCTGTCATTTATGCGCTGAAAAGCAAACAATCACACACCTATTTGTGACTTGCCCCAATGCTCAGCTGTTTTGGACACATTTTTCAGTTTGGTGGCGCGAAAAAAACAACATTGAGATCTCGCTTTCTGAAGCACAAACACTTTATGGCATTACAGACACCGTGCCTCAGTGTCTTGGTTTAAACCTCTGCTTGATAATTGCAAAATACTATATTTACACCGCGTCTAAAAATGAGGAAGATTATTTTTTCGATGCTTTTTTGTCTATCCTTAAAAATAAAATACAAATTGAAACTAGCAAAGCTAAGGTGCAAGTCAAGCTGTAAAAATAATTTTCTTGATTCTGGCTAATTTCCCTTGTTTTTTGGCTTTTTTGTTTTGTTTGTTTGTTTGTTATTTATTTATTTATTTATTTATTTATTTTTTGTCCTTTTTAGCGTATTTACTCTTCGTTAATAGATAGTAAGTTAGTAATTAGTTGTTTTAGAATTCCTTTTTCATTATTTTGTAACAGACTCCAACTCATCGGCTCCTGTTTTGTAAGCATTATCTTGTAAGTTAATATTATGTAAGTAAGTAGTATTTAACTTAGCAAGTTATATGTAAGTAGGTATTAAAGCTTTATGTAACTAAGTAAGTACTATGTAAGTAAGTCAGCATTATGTTTGTAAAAACAATAAAAATTAAAAAAAAAAATGTAACTCGAGATTACGAAATACTGTTGTGCCTTTACTTCAAAAAAAAGAAATGATAACCCAAATTGTTACTCTAAGCAATGCATAGGAAGGTAAATATAAAAGGGATAAAAAATTTTACTCCTGGATTAGCGCTAATTGGCCTTTCAGGAACCGGACCCAGATCTCTTCGTTTGTTATTATAGACCATCATCATCATCATTAATATTATTATCATTATCATCATCATCATCATCATCATTATTATTATTATTATTATTATTATTATTATTATTATTAGTTTATTACACCCTAAGTTCTCACACGATCACAAAGTTGTTAATGGAAAGCGATTTTCAAATAACACGTACTCAGTTAAAACAATCAATAATATTTTACCGCAAGTAAAATTAATTGAACCAAGAATATATCGAGTCTATTTATAATCGGGCCGTTTCACGAGATTAAAAAAAATAACGACATTTTAAGCCGTCTTTGTCACTTCTCATGGTGGGCAAAGAAATAGTTTACGTGGTCAATTTTCACATCGACGGAAAAAAAACGAGGATCCGTAATTTACAGTACGGACCGAAAAAACGAGGGTAA